CTGTTTTTGTGTTGCATATTTTCGAGATAGGGTCTCTCAAACTATTTTCCCAGGCTGACTTTGAACCACAGTCCTCCTGATCTCTGCCTCCCAAGTACCTAGGATTACAGGGTGAGCCACTGGCACCTGGCTAGTGCAGGTTGTTTTTGAAGTGCTGGAAGTACGTTGCTTGTGGTGCTGCTAAAAGGGGCATGGTGGGGCTTACATGGTGCTACTCTTGTCGGCTTCATGTTCAAAAAAGTTTGATTAAGTTGGGCTAACCAATAAAAGGCCATTAAAGTGGAGAGATCATCAAAAAGAATTCATGTATACCCTAGACACGTTAAATGCACAAGTGTGTATTGATGTTTTGTTCTAAAACTAAGTGTGGTCAGCTGATTGGAGACCTACATGTTCTTTCTTGCACAAGCCCCACTGTAATCATGCATCAACTTTAATTTTCTAGTTTGTTTTTAAGCGTAGCAAGAACTGAGACATTTTAAAAGAAATTCCAGTGCAAAGACTTCTTTGAATTGTACAATTTCTCTTTCATTCCTCCCACATCTAATTTGATAAATCTTTTTTTTTTTTTGCAGTTACATAGATCAAGTCACTCTAAACCAGTTAACAAATTTTTTTGGAAACCGTTCACATTCACATTTCATTGGGTTACATATATTTAGTTAAACTGTAATCTCTGTAACAAGTACAATTGTCGTAAATGTGGGAGCAAATCCAACATATATGAGCTCGAGGAGGAATGGGCAAGCATGCATCTGGGAGCACTTAGCTGAAGGAAGAGCTGGTTAATCAATGAGTAGACTAAGTGGAGGCTGCTAAGAGTGCTTCTCCTGTGTATATTTGTATATTTTGTACATAAGTATTGAACTGAAACTCCCATGAGATGGAGATTTGTTTTAAAAGTGGACATTGAAGGCACCCTGTTTACAGCTTTCATGTTGGAGTTTATTTGGGAAGACACTTGGTCAGGGCTAGGCAGAGTCAAGTGAGCTTGAGATTGTAGAAAAGTCCAGCAAGCCAGAGAGCTGGGGCTTGTTACAAGGAGCTTTGAGTTCACCTTGTGGCTTGGTAAGCATGACTCTGCTCGGGGGCAGGTTTAGGGCAGCAAGATTAATGCCAGACTGTAAACACTGATTAGGGGCCTAATAAACTTGGTAGTCTGATTCAGGATTTGTTTAGGACTGAATTGGACTGAACTAAAAGATCTGAGGTTTTTTAAGATTTGTTCCTGGACCAGGCTAGGTCAAGTAAGGATTGATAACCTGTCACTGCTTTTTATCCATGGCTTGCCCTTTTCCTTTCCTACTTCTAAGATGTTGAGCTTGCCCATTTTCTTTTCACTGTCAGTATTGATCCTGATGAATTCCAGTTTTCAATTAATAGTTTGTTAAATATTTATAGGGCATCTGTTATATGCCCGGGAGTGTTGTAGCCATTGAGAATGCAATGTCAAGCAGGGAGGCAAGGTTCCTATCCTGAATGCCTTTATATTGTGGGGGAGGGATAGGGGAGAAGACAAATAATAAGCCCACAAATTAATAAGTAGGATAATTTCACATTCTTATCATTTTAGGGAAGGAGTCATTTGAGCATAGAACTGAGTGAAGAGAAGTAGGGAGTGATACAAGGAACACATCTAGCAGAAGAAGCATTAAGTACAGACAGGGACCTTAGATGGGAATAAGCTTGGCACATTTAAGGGCCTGAAAAAAAAAAAAAGATGTTCATTATTTGAGGAAAGTAGATTACTGGAGAAAGATGAGTCTGGGAAGTTAAATAGGTCAGATAAAGTGGGATCTGTAGACTGCTAAGGAGGTTGGGTTTTATTCCATTTGCAGGGCTTTAGCCGGGGGTCAGGTGGGTTGCTTCCTCTACCTACTGCTGTAGGAGGGTGTACTGAAAGGGTAGTAGTGGACATCAGGAGGCCATTTAGATACCTGGTGGTGTAAACTAAGTGAGAGAATGTAGTGGCTTGAGTTTTTGGCATGAGGTGAACAGATTCAGGAGATTTTTGGAGGTAGTATTACCAGTTTTTGTTCCTAAACTGGGCCCTTTTTCTCTTTTGGAATTGTGGAGTCAGTAACAAGACTGAGCACTAATTGAGAGTGAAGGAACCTTTTATACTTGCCCAAGAATAGGAGGAATGAGAAAGAAACTTGCACATCAACTTCTCAACCCTTTAGGTGCTGGGAAGGTATAGATAAGGAATAAAAGAAATGAGAGGGAGGGAGGTGCTAGTGAAGAGGAGGAATATTTATGACTCTTCTGGGAAGGGGCAGAGATTTTCTGAAATTCAGGCACAACCTTGTTTCCACTCCTTTGATGGTTCTTTGTAGTCTTTTTGGCAGTTGCCAACTGTCCTGGTGCTGGGAGAGTGTCATTTAGCAAGCAGATGGCATTACAGTGAATGAAGTTAGAGGCTGGCTGTGGTTCACTCTGGCAGTCATCTTAGATCCAGTCAGTTTGGGCTAGCCTAACTGAAGAGGAGTTTCTGGCCCAGAGATATCTTCTTCTCAAAGATAAACCGGATGTGTATATATGAGGAGAGGGTGTTAGAAAGGGTGTATAAATTGAACTATGTCACCTCGGCAGTCCTCAGGGTAACATCAGAGCCATTGAAATTTATTGATGGATTTTCATGAGAAGGTGGAGAATGAAAAACTATGAAGGATAACCCCCGAGTTTTTGGCCTGAGTAACTGGATGAATAATGGTGTTACTGTCCAAGATGGTGGAAATATGGGGGATTGGCGAGTACACAGTTTTCAGGTTGTGGGTATTAGTACTCTATTTTGATCATCTTAACATTAACTTTGTAACTTTGTAAGTATACTTATTAGAGAAGCTGACTGGTATAGCTTCTCAGATGGAAAAGGCTAGAGAGGTAGATTTACCCTGTAGGTTATATTTAAAGTAACTGAACTGGATGTGTTCACTTTGAGAAGTAGTAGAAATAGAGAATGAAAGAAAACCAGAGGTAGTCGGGGGCATTCTGGATTTTGGATAAGCAGATGAGGGACACTGATGAGCTAGTGGCATTCAAGGAAAACCAAGTTTGAATGTTAATTTTGGAGGAGAAAGGAGTGGGGGTTGTTAGTTGTGTCCGGTGTTTCTGGTAGATCAAGAAGGTGACTGGAGAGTGAATTGACCATTGACTGGGGTAAGTGTCACTGTTGTGGGTTTTGTTACATACCAGTTCGTCTATTATCTGGTGTCTTGTCTGATTAGTGCTCATTTTACTCAGAAATATTCCAGTGCGGAGAGTGAATTATAGGGTCACACTAGTCAGATATGATGGTGAGAATAAGAACTGATTGGAGTGGACTGAGGGAAAGTAGTAGACTGAAGAGAGCACAGATAACTCTTTCAAGGTGTTTTCCTGTGAAGGTGGTGGGAAATATGCTGGTTGAAGGTTATGATGGACTTAGGGGAGGGATTTTTGTGTTAACATTTTAAAGTATACTTATAGATTAGTCAGAATGACCCACCAGAGAAGAGAAGATGATGAGACAAAGGGAGAGAGAATGAAAGAGTGTCATCGGGAAACCTTCATGTTTTGTGAAACTGAATACTAGAATGTATATGAAGAAATCTTACTGTGGAGTGTGGTTAAAAAAAATTAAAAATTCTGCCATAAATTGTATGGGGTGTGGGAGGGAAAAGTTTCATAAGCAGTAGGTATGTGACAATGTGTACTATTGGTTATGTGAAATATGCAGAAATACATTGTTTTTATATTACTTGAGTGCATTTCTATTTCCTTTTTTAAATCTACACTCATTTCTAATATGGAAATGCCCAGTAGGAGACTCATAAATGTTGACTGCTTGACTACCAGGAAAACATACACACTCAGTCATAATACAGAGTGAGTGCTTTGTTTCCTACACTGGTTCATGGTGCAACTGCCAGAACAGTGCACAGAGCTGCAGATGGACCTGCTTGAGGTGGGGAGTACTGAAGTGCTGTGAGAGTGGTAGTGACCTTGAACACCCAGTCTGTTTCTTGACTCTGCAGGTTTAGAAACTTTCATTAGCTCCTTCAGAATTGACCAGACTCCTGGGAAGTAGCTCAGACTAGTCAGAATCAAAAGACTTAACTGCATTGGGTTGGCATACAGAAATAGCCATGTTGGTCTAGGAGTGCTAAACTTGATTTTTTTCCATTTGTACAGGACGATGGGCTGTATTTATTAAGATCTTATCCATGTGGGTTTGATTACAGAAACTAATAAAGTATTCTCTAAATAATGGAAACAATCAAAAGATTGACCCGTGAATTTTGATGGTCTTAAGCTGATTTTTTAGTAGGGTAACACGTGTTCCAGTGATAATATATACATGTATATTATCTAATGTGCATTATTCCAGAATCTAGGTACCTAAGTAGTAGAATTTGTGATCAGACCATCATTTAATGAGCACAGAGTCACAGGGAAGGGGATTAGTTCTAAGGGATGAGGGGTCAGAGCCCTCCCGACTATCAGTTTGCATGACCTGAGTGTGTTTCATGTGATTAGAATATGGATTTTTGTACCATGAAATCTAGTGTCTCTCCACCTTTCATGGTACTTTACTGGAAAAACTGACAACTAGTTGCTTTTCAGATTACCAGTTTCTGAATTTTTTTCTTTTTTAAATCTGATCTGCCAGCCTCAGTGGCTCGTTGAGGCAATGATTCTCAAGCAGTGAGCAGGGCCCTAGAATTTTGAATTCTTCTGCATCTCCTTATGGGGATTTAATAATGTGGGCCATTTAAAATCTTATATTAAAAACAATTTCTTCTGAAAGAGGTTATAACCATATACTTGTTTTTGTGTTTCATTATACTGAGAACTGAATCCTTGGCCTCATTCATGTTAAACAAGTGCTGTACCACAGAGTGTATCCCCAATCTCTTGATTATGTTTTGAGTTTGTTAGTTATAGCCACATTCCAAATCTGCTCCTTCATTGTTTACCCTTCGGTTATCTTGATGGGATGACCATTCTTTACTTTTCAGCCACACATTTAGAAGTTGCCCAAGAACCAAAGGAGTTGAAGAAGGTTCAGTAGAAGACTCATCTTCAAGGTGAACAAAAATTTCTACTGAGCAGTTTTGTAAATGTTCTTAGTAGCTGCTTTTTTACTTATAAAATCATTTAAATTAAGTGCGTTATCTGCATGTTTAAATTACTGTTGAACAATTCAGAAAATAGTAGTAAGCACTTAGGATAGCTCTCTGTTAGAAAACGTCATAGGCCAGTGGACTCTGGCTAGCTGCCATATTAGAATTCAGAGCTCAGCTCGTGAATTTACCATTGACTTCAATAGCCTTGAGTAAGATGTTACTCTTTCTGTCTCTTTCTCAGCTATTTTGCCACGTCATAGAGATGCTGTAAAATATGCCAATTAAAGCTTCCAAAAATATTAAAAGGCCCTATAAATATTGAGCAGAAATAAGAAGTGGGTAGCAGTAAAAAGACTTGAGACCACGAGAAAGAACTCATTAAGATTGTTTGTAGTCACTGGTAGAAAATGTCTCATTTGACCTTTCTCTCTCACTCTGTATTCTGAATCAAGAAATATAAAACATTCTTAATTTGTCTTAGCATTCTTTTCACTCAGTGAGTCTTGTATATTTTAGTTAGTGTGAAGACATCACTGTGGTTAATTGTAGAACTGTGCTATATCTTTGATTTATAAAAGGCTGTTCCATTGGTTTGATGTGTTATGGCTGAAGGAAAAGTAATATTTCTCCCAGCAGAGTCTGTGGAGGGCTATTGCTTTTCCACCTGTGTTCTCTTTCAGTTATGAGATAGAGAGTAAATCCTTTGTGAACAAAAGCATTTTGCAGAAGGTGTGCTTAGAAAACACAGGCTAGAATTTAAAAAAAACACATAAAAATCCCTTTATTCAAACCTTCTGGATTAGTCGTTGTTTGTAATATATCAGTGGGAAAACCTGTCATTGGCATGAATTTATCTGATATTCTAATACTCAGAAATCATTTTATCTGGTATTCTATCACTTTGCTAGGATTGTGATAACATAAGTTTATTATTTTTCCAGAGGCAAAAAATTAAATTATTTCCAATTGAGATTTGATGGTAATATGTCTTTGTGTATGTAGTATTGGGGATTGAGTCCAGGGCCTCATGGTCACTAGGCAGTAGTGTCTTACTATATTTTAAGTCTGAATTTGGTAATCATAATTTTAATCTAAATATTTGACCAACTAGAACAGTCATTTCCCTGTCATTCCAGTCGAGTTACATTTTACTCCATATAAAAGAGTACAGAACAAATGAAAAAAAAAAAGGTTTGTATTTAAGACTTAGTGTGGAGAGGCCATAATGGTCAATTAGCTATAGAAAACATAGAAGCCATACCAAGACTGGGTGGTTATCAAACTATGAGTGTTTAAGTACTTGTTTGGGACAAAACTATATACTTCAGAAGCATTAATAAGGTTACTTGTGGCTTTTCTTTTTTTAATTTTTGCAGTATAGGGGCTTGAACTCAGGGCCTGCAGCTCAAGCTGCTCCACCAGCCCCTTTTTGTGATGGGTATTTTGAGTTAGGGCCTCATGAAGTATTTGCCTGGGCTGGTTTCAAACCTCGATCCTCTTGATCTCTGCTGCCTTAATAGCTAGGATTTACAGGCATGAGCCACTGGCGCCCAGCTTCTTGTGGTTTTGTATCGTTAAAATATATATGTTTGAAGATGTCTGCACAGTTGAGTCATTTTGAGATTCATGTTTTAAGTAGCTTTACGTGATACATAAAGGTCATTTATCTTGATAAACTAAAAATGACTTCATCCTGATAATGACTTTGCATCTTATAACAGCTCTACTGATTTGAACAGGAATGATAAGATAGAAGTATTAGAAAAATAGAGATAGAGTAAAATAATAATAGACATATGAGCAAAAGTTGAAGTGTTTTCTTCATCTTTGATGCTGGTTTCATGTCCTATAGGTATGAGGCCTGTGACTAGGATCGATAGCACATTTGTATCAGGCTGGTTGCCAGTGCTCAGGGTGCTCTCCAAACTAGCCTATCTGATTAGGGTCTAGAGTTAAAATGATCTCTGGCATGTTTGGTTTGACATCAGCCAAAAGTTTCATAAGCCCTAGCATTATTGACATACAATTTCTTGTGACCACATATTCACAACGTTAGCGGATAATGTTTTATTATTTAGTTTTTGGTCGGACTGGGGTTTGAACTCAGGGCTTTGCACTTGCAAAGCAGGCACTCTGCTGCTTGATCCACACCTTTAGTCCATTTCAGTCTGGTTAATTTGAAGATGAACTATTTGTTGGGCTGTCCTCAAACCTCGATTCCCCTGATCTCAGCCTCCCAAGTAGTTAGGACTACAGTGTGAACCACCTGTGCCTGGCTGTGGATGCTGTTTTAAATTAAGTTGATGAATGCTAGTGTAGAAATTTGGTCATATAAATGTGTTTTATTATTACTATTTTTTTCTTTGTTGACACAGGCCTCACTGTGTAGCTCAGGCTTGCCTTGAACTTGTGATCCTCTTGCATCAAATCTCATAAATAGCCGTTATTACAGGCTGTACCACCAGGCTGGGCCTGATTTTTTTGTTTTTCATTTATTTCTTATTTTGGAGTCTATCAGATAGGATTGTTTTTCATATTAAAAAATCTGCTTTATGGTATCTTTATTTTTCAGGTAACATTTTAATGAGTTTTATATGGCATTTTTGTTTCATGGTTTATAAATGCCATCAGTTGATTTCTGTTTATTTCTCAGTGTGTGTTTTTTTTTCTTTGTTTTTTCATATAGGGTCTCATAATTTATCCCAGGTTGGCCTTTAACTCACTGTGTAGCCCAGATAAACCTTGAACTCAAGGTCCTCCTAACTCTGTCTCCCAAGTGCTGGGATTAATAGGTGTACACCACCACTGTGTACTAGTGTGTGTGTGTGTGTGTGTGTGTGTGTGTGTGTGTGTGTGTGTGTGTGTGTTGTTCTTGGGATTGAACTCAAGTACTCAGCATGCAAAGCAAGAACTTTACCATTGAACTACATTCTTAGCCTTAATGTGAGTTTTAAGTACTCATTTTTTCCTTAATGGGGTATAATTTACATACCATGTTAAGTGTTCAGTTTGCCAAGTTTTAACAAGTACGCACATCCACTAACACACAGTGAAATCAAGATATAGAAACCTCTCTCCCCTCTGTCCACACAATCACAGATAAGATTGTTATTAGAACAGATTTACCTGTCCTCAAACCTCATGTAAATAGAATCATCCAGAATGTACTTTTGAGGCTGCCTTCCCACAATGTAATACCTGTGAGATTCATCTACATTGTTTTGTGTTTCAGTATTTCATCACTTCCTCTTTATTGCTGAGTCTTCCATTGTATGTGATAGGTGTTGATAGGCATGTGTGTTTAAAAGTTTAGGTTGTTGTGAATAAGGCTTAAAGCACTTTGATGGGGAACATTGAGAATAACAAGTATGCTGAATTAAGCTCTAGTTGGGGTCAGAGAGAGGCTATCAGTAAAATGAATGAAGCTATTTGATTACCTATTAAGTGTGATTTTTTTGCTTAACGTGTGCTTTGTTATGTGTTTTTCACTTTTTTTCTCTAGTCATAATTTGATCTTGTTTTATAATCTGTCTTTTTATGTCATGCATTAGCTTTGAAACAGTTGGGAGATAGTGTATGACTTGGTAACAGTCAGGTATGAGAGAATGTAAAGCAATTTCGGTGAAAATAACAAGCAACTGTCAGCTATTGTTCTAGGACTAAGATTGTGTCACAGTGATGCGCCTGTGTGTACACAAGTTTGTCTATATATCTGTGCTTTGATTTTGTGTTAGATTTAAGAAAACAGAACATCCTTAAAAATTATTAACAGTATCTTCAGCCTTGAACAAAATTCCATTGGAATAACCTCTTTGTGATATAAATCACTTTTGAAGGAATATAGAAGGGCTAGAGTGTGGCTCAGTGGTTAGAGCACTTCTCTGGTATGTGCCACGCCCTGGTTTGTTACCCAGCACTCCACAAAAATTTTGCTTAGGGAGCTGATATAGTTCACTTGGGAGAGCATGAAACTAAGAAGATGAAAAAGGTGCAGGTATAGAAGAAAAGGCAAGAAGGAGGGGAAGAGGAGCAGGAAGAAAGAGAAGAGGAGGAGTGATGTACAGTAAAATAATATAGTGCCCCAGGGAGCTGTTTGATTACTTCCCCTGATCTAGGGAATAACTGCCATGAAATGAAGCTTTGAAGATAAGTCATTTTTGACAATTATACTTGACATTTAATTTGACCATTATTATCCACAGTCCTCATAAAGGTACCTGTACACCTCCTTGGAAAAGCAAGAGGTATCATTAGGCCCTGTGTTAAGAGACATATCTTACAACTGTGTTCTTTGATTAATTGGTAATTTTGGTCCTTAAATTTGCTTTCTTACGTTTAGATTTAAAAAAAAAAAGATTTTTTGAGGACTACTGAAGGTACTTTTTATTCTCTATTTTCTTTTTTAGACAGTAGGTTGATGCCTCCTCAATTTGCCACACTGATTTAACTAGTTTAAATTCTGCTTTTGGAAGGTGGTTGTAAGGTTAGTGATAGCCTTGTTTAGTTATTCATGAAATTTTGAGGTTGTGTAAAGGAGGATCTAATGGAGAAACAGATCATTAAGAACAAGATAGCCGGTTGCCGGTGGCTCACACTAGTAATCCTTGCTAATCTGGAGGCAACGATCAGGAGGATTGAGGTTCAGAGCCAGTTGGGGCAAATAATTTATCTCAAACACTTCAACAAAAAGGGCTGGTGGAGTGGCTGAAAGTGTAGGCCCTGAGTTCAAACCCCATACTGCAAAAAAAAAAAAAGGTTAGGTGCCAGTGGCTCATGCCTGTAATCTTAGCTACTCAGGAGGCAGAGATCAGGAAAATTGAGGTTCAAAGCCAGCCCTGGCAAATAGTTCCAGATACCCTATCTCGAAAAAACTCATCACAAAATAAGGGCCAGTGGAGTGACTCAAGGTGTAGGCCCTGAGTTCAAACTCCAGTACCGCCCAAAA